TGAACGAGTTCGCTTTCACCGAAACGCAGCTCTAACTTCGCCTTTAAGGTTGTATGACCCGTAAGATCTCTGCCAAAAGTTTAAGAAACGTAACATAAAGCTAATTAACATATTTAAGAAGATATTCTTTACTGGAAAGTAATATTTATATTAATATTTTATTAAAATAACGGTTGCCTGTGTTTTTAAGAGCTATAGAGACATTTTTATGCATATTTTCTCGTATGCAAACTTTCACTTTTAATGATTTTTAGAAAGACTGTACCTGACTTGCAACTGACACAAACGAAAATCTGAAAGTGTGAAAATCTTTAAAAAGTAACAAAACATAGTAATTACTGTTTAAAAATACTAATGAAATTATATTACGTTATTTATTTACGTCATTTATTAATAAATTAAATACAATAGCTCTCATAAAAAAGTATTTTGATCGCGACAACGTCGCATTTTCTGTAAGTTGGTAGCATTGATCTTACTTGACATCAGCTGCGTGAACGCGAAGTGTGTGCTCTGAGCACGTGTAATATACAGACGCAACGTTTGAGGTTAGTTTTTAGTTTTCGCTTGCGCTACGAAAATGCCAAAAGTAAAACGTTACATGTGCCATGGAATTGTTACAATCATCTGGTGTGGTTTCGACTCGTGTCTTCAAACGTTTCCCAGTATTTGTCTATGCTAACCGTTGATTGTACACTTTTTCAGTGACAACTTTTCCTTTCCACATGTAACGTTTTACTTTCGGCATTTTCGTAGCGCAAGCGAAAACTAACCTCAAACGATGCGTCTGTATATTACACGTGCTCAGAGCACACTTTCGATACACAGGAGGCTCTATTGGAAAAAGTAACGGACCTCTGTAGTATTTGTTATCCTTTACGGAGAGTGACGGAGAGAGAGGTTCTAATGTGACGTCATAGTGCGCTGTTGCCGGATCTCTGTACTTACGAGTTCAGTGAGACCAAGCGAGACTGTTCTCTGTTTGGTTTTTATTCAATATTTCAGAAAATATCCTCGAAGTCATAATTTTTTTGGTTCTAATTTGTTTGTAAGATGTTTATTAATATTTCTGCAAAGTTTTAAAAGGATGCCATATTTTCTTCGATATTAATTTCTTAAATGAAGTTGAAAAAACAGTGAAACTTGATGAATTCCCATAAGAGCCCATGTTAAATTCAAATTGTTATAACTTTTGAACGGGTCTCGCAAACTTGTTCAAACTTGGCACAATGCTTTATTATTATAATACTCATCACCTGACAAAGTTTGAAGAATTTGGCATTTTTTCTTCTAAGGGGTCATACAACCTTAATTCCGCGTAAGAGAGGGATTCGATCCCGTCGGCGAATGAATCGAGTAATGAACACGCTTTCCCCTGCAAGCTCGACGCCAAAACGACCGCTTTTTCTGCCTCGCTCCATTTATTCGCAACGGCAATAAACGTGAATTGTGAAAGAAACTCGCGTAACGGCGCCGTCCCGTCGTACGTATCGGGCTTTAACTTTATTCCGCAAGAAATTCTATCTCCGGATGCGTCTACACCCGCGCCCGTCACTCGCACCGCGCCGCTCACGTTTTCGACCAAAGGAAAATTATTGGAGGGACTTTTAGCTCTGCAATCCTTTCCTCGATTTAACGAAGCTGATGGTCATCGCGCTGCTGTATAATTGACGCGAACTCGGCTTCCCTTTGCATGCATGCGCTCCGCACGCATCTCGCGGATCTCCCGCATGACCGCCTGCAGTGTCACCACTTCCGCCGTCATCTCCGCAGCGTCCGACTGTGGAGTCGCTACCCTGAGCTGTTTCCTTGTAAGAGCGGTCGAGGCCATTTCGATTTAAAAGCGCAGCTCGTCCTTTCGATCCCGGACCCCCAAAATGTTGCGCTCGCCGCGTCGCTCGTTCACACACTTAACTCTCACACGCTCGCACTCTGGACGCTCGCGGAAATAAGGAAACACTGCGGTTATAAAAAAAACAATCTCAATCTTTATTACAACGTCGCGATACAGAAGAGCGTGGACATACGTCCGAACGGTCCAGCAGCTCAAGACAAAATCCATCAGCTGTTTCATTTAATCAATAAATCAATATCTGGCTCGTTACTAAGAACAGGCGTTTCGCATCTTAAGGGGATCCTATAGCGAAGGCCGAACTTCCTCGACGTCGGTAATGTCAACATTTCTAATCCTGTTTTCTATGTTATATATCTATATCTGTCCTTGTCTAACGAGAGGCATCTGTCTCTGTTCGATTGCTGCGCCATCTCTCGCTACACGCAATACTGCTTATCCTATCAACCTGAATGTGCTTTTGCTTAATAAAACTTCATTTTACAAAATCTTTTTTTCTAGACGTTGAATCTTAGTTTTACTTACACGATATTGTTCCTACATGTTGTCCCTACGTCGCCTTGGTGTCATTTTATATATATAAACTGCAGTAATTTTGTTATTGTCGTCAGATGACAGTTGTATGTGCCCAAATTAGTAAAATTTTTAATTTTTTTTCGTTCCCGATATGAAATCGTATAACGCGATGTAGATTTTTGTGCGTACTTTAATTCTAGACCAAAAACTTGCAATTCTGTAAAGCCAATTCAAAGATTCCTTAAAATGAAAAAATGTCGGTAACTACCGCCACTATAGGATCCCCTTAACGGAAAGACTTTCCGTTGCACGCTTCAGCTCGGTGTCAGAAAAGTATACCGGGCGGTATGCACGCAACTTTTTTTAATTCTTAAATTACACAATTTACTAAAGATGTATCATTTTCAGTTTTTATATCTTAAATACGTTTAATAAGTAAAAAGTACGTTAAAATACTTTATTGATACTTTATTACTAACAAATTTTAAAAAGATATAATATTTTACTTATTTTATTAAAAAATGTGCATGTACATAACAAACACGTAAATTTAGTAAAAATTTATTTAATTTTGAAATATTTTAGAGATATTACATTATCACAATTGTTTTTGTTACTATAAAATGTGTCACGATAAACCGAAGTTCTTATATTAAACGCTTGCGAGTGACTGGTCAGTTCTATCTGGTACTGCACAGAAAAATAAGAAGTGTTCAATTAACACTGATATACTTGTATATACGCAAGAATATATAATCTTGAAATGAGATTAGGATATAGTTCCGAATGACCCCTGCTCCCGATTGTCCTAAAACTTTACACATAAGTTGTTTTCAATGTGAGAAATAAAGTACGCGTGGTCCCAACTTCGGAAAATTGAAAAATAGTTATTTGTGTAACAAGTGCGGGAAGTATAATTTGCTAAACATGACATGATAGTTCTCAAATACTTTGGAAATTTGTATTCAACATATTATTAAAAGAAATAAACAAATATTTACTTTTTAAAAATTTTAAACAAATAAATTAAAATAAAAAATATTAATTTTTTCCTTCAATTTTCTCAAACAATCCGTTTTGCTCCTTATTTTCGAATATATTTTCCGAAAAATATCAATTTTATTTACATTAAATTTACAAAATTGATAATAAAACCACAAAAAATGTCATATTAAATCGAAAAATTGACATTTTAAAAATTTCATAACTCGGAAACTACTTCTATTCCAAAAATGAAATTTTCAGGGTTGTTTAAGGATATAATGAAGTATATTCCCTGAAAATTTCAAAGGATTTCGAGTTGAAAGAAAAAAGTTTTGGCTATCTGAAAATGGCGATTTTTCGAAAATCGATCGGCTTTAGATAACCATAACTTAACGAAATAGAAGCAATCAAGTAAAAAATGGGTAGATTTCTTCAGAGTATACCTGAACAAAAAATATCAGCTGCTGATCAACCCTCTACTTCGAAAACTGTAGATATGACAGCATTTCAAAAATAGGTAAAATTTCTCTAAAACAGTGGTTTAGTTAGCAGCTCGCCGTGAAGCCGGACTTGAGTGTAAACCAATGACCAATTTTTTCCTTAAAAGTAGAGGGTTTACAGAAAAGAATGCGGCCTCAAACGAGTCTCTAAGTTATATAGAAGCTGAGATATAAATTTTTGAAAATGACTGAAAAATCGACTTTTTTCAAAATTAATAAAATTCTTCAGCGGCCGGATTTGATCGAATCTGGCTCAAATTTTCAGAATCATCTCCTTTTCTAGTGTACTTTCGAGGAAAAAATCGGCATCAAAATCGGTGACCCACCCCCGCAACTTTTGGTCGAAAAGTAATGGATCTGCCCATATATATATATATATGTCTATACACTATAACTTCTTATATGTAAATATCATAATATGTATCTCTGCTCATGTACGGTAAAAATGAATAAAATTTTTATGGTATGTACATTTCTATGACATCGAGAATTGCAATTACGGTTTTTTAAGATTTTCTAGTTATATATTTTTTTCAATTTTTTAATGATTTATTTAAACAATATGAAGTACAAAAATGGGACAAAATTCGGAGGCGATTTTCACGCTTTTTCTGTCCCCAAATAATACCTGTTGTTTATAAATAATTTCTGAGATTAGCTCTACACTGTTTAAATCAAGAAAACAAAGTTATACATATAATAGCTATCTATCATACATCTTTAACCGCGCGCTGGAGACAAAGCGCCTTTGCCATATGTTGATTACATTTCCCTTTTATTTTCAGAACGCGGCGGACAGACACGAGGCGGATCGGCTCCGGAACGAGTGGCCGTCGCGACTTATTTAATTGGTGAATACAATGTATTAACTTTGCATTTAATATTTATTACAGTACCTATCACGAGAAGTATAGATTCGGCGTTCGGATATTGATAATCCGTTCGGACGAGTACATTTCGTCTTGTTCGGCCGAAGATCTATCCCGTGAGAAACCTTTAATTTATTGTTATCTTACATACCTACATACATTTCGTTGCGTTGATTTTTATTTGTAAAATATCGCTGATGTCGAACGTGCTATAATTTTTTCTCTTATTTCTCTGCTGTCGCAATATGATTATAAGTACGTGTGATTAATTTCGAGAGTATCATAGAAAGTATAGCATCAGAGGTGCGCGATTATTGTATTCTGATGATTGCTTGTAATTGCGTTTTGTAATTGTGGCGGTCCACGCCACCAATGATACATCTCTGCGCGATGCCTGCAATACCGGCAGTTCGCAGCAACGTCGCTAGGCGTCGCATCGCCGGGGCAGCTTCGCGAGTTCTAAGTTTTGCACCGACGAGTATAAAGGGAGACCCCCTACGGGCTCGAGCGATTCTTCCCGGCGCAAGTCGCCTAAGGCACAGAGCGCCCGGACGCTGAAGCCTACCCAAGCGCTAGCCACTCTCTCGGCGCAAGACGCCTGCTCACGGCGCCGCGCCGGTCGCCTTTACAGCGCGAGTCGCTTCCTCGGCGCCGGTCGCCTTTATAGCGCGAGTCGCTTTCTCGGCGCCGGTCGCCTTTACAGCGCAAGTCGCTCTCTCGGCGCCGCGGCGCCGGTCGCCTTTACAGCGCGAGTCGCTTCCTCGGCGCCGGTC